TAGATATATTTTCTGCAATGTACCCCACCCGCCTTGCAATTCCCCTTCTACCGTGCTCTGCTTCGCTACTCCCATCCATTTAACAAATATTGCCTTGTGCGAAATAAAGTCGTGTCCTCCTGGAACATACTGCTCTTCATGTCCACACAGTGTATAGTAGGTGCGACTGGGAAAGGAAGTAAGCATGTTGTGGCTCAAATGCTCTCGTTGGAGATGGCTTGTGGCTCAATTTGTTATGAACTTTTATAAGTGCTGAGATTCTTTTCTCAAGGGACTTTATGACAGTCTCCCTGTGCCTGTTGGATCATACTTGCCAAGCAGAATCATGGCAAAGAATCTTATGGCGTGATGCTTTCTACATGGATGGGAGTGCTATCACTATCGATTGGCTTTGGGAATTGCTGAAGAACAGAGAGGCTGGGCTTTTAACTGGAATTCACACTTATTTGGCATATATTCAAATGCTTCACTGAGACTTGACTAAGAGGAAACGGCTTCCCAACGGTAATAGAAAGCTAGAAAAGTGGGAGTAATAACTTGGGACTACCGCTCTTAATGCACATGCAGTGCATTTAGAAAGATTCCCACCTCCAGATGCGTTGTAAATGCCTGTTATCTAGTTCACTGGCCTGGATCCATTTGTCCGTTGTCCACTATTACTCCCTTATTCCAAATAAGGCTCAGAATATATTCTGGACATCACTTAACTCTAACCACATTTTATCAAGCTGTGTGTAAATTAACGCAAAACATGAAGCCAATGTCCATTAAGCTACTTTATCAAGAAGAGGGGTGGGGAGGGGTGTGTGGCAAAAGAAGGTTAACCATGGATGCATCCGTATAAGACCTGTCTTTGGGGAGAGACTGTATCTCCCCAGCTTTTGGAAAGATTATATTCCCGAGAGAGGGATATTTCAGGGCTTGGAATTTTCTTTTGCTGATGGTTGAAACTTGCTTCTAAGAGAATCAAGTGGAACAAAACGTGAGGAATCACTTTTACGATAATTAAAACTATTTTGGATTTTTTATTTATCAATCTGGTTTCTAATATAATTTCAGTTAAATGAAAGACATTCACAAAGAATATTAGGCATACATACATAATTTCCTTCTTTCATTCTAGTTTACATGCTGTTGCTTTTAGAGAGTGAAATTTTGTGTTATTTCCCAGGGATGGAATCCTACTTGATTTTACAGAAAGAATATTTGGCCCAGCTTTTCACAGCTCTAACCTCTGCACTCACCGTGCTTGCTGGAAAAATTAAAAAACCCAACAAAACAAAACTTAGAATCAGGAACAGTTAGAACCATTTCTTGGACTACTTGAGAGGAATCTCCACATTTTCATAGCCATCGCCGAATCCAGCAGTTGCTGTAAAAAAACTGCGACTTGGAAATGGTGCAGACCTTCTAGGGAGATCTGTTCTTAAAGCACATTTTTCATCTGGAAAATAAACTTGTAAATGCGCGCTGGATATTAATACCTGTGTGCCCATGTATCTTTACGACCTTCTGCCAGTCTTTGCGCCATGAAAGATAACCAACTTTTCAACATATTTTCCCGGTTTCACTGACAATGAGTTTTACACACCACTCATATCCAAAAAATACTGCTGTGAAAGAAATCTACTTTGAATTTTCCAACATTATCATGCAGGGTATGTGTGGCGTAGGCACAGAGCCATGAGGCTACGTGAAAATGTCACATTTGGTTTTAGTGTTGTCTTATTTATAAGCCAACCCAATCACACCGGGGGCACGTGTAAACCAGAAGTCACACCCAGGTGAGAATTTAGGGCTTTACGCACATTAGGTTCTGATTTCTCTGGCCTTTGGCTATTGCATCTCCTGATGTGGACAAGCCAGCTCCTTGACAGTCTACCTGACTAATAATTTAGCAGTTGTACAGCAACACCCCATAAGTCTCCACACCCCTGGACATGGCCACATTGTTTCTTTGATGTGACTTATAACCACAGCCAGAAAGTAAGTCTTCCAATAGGCTCTATTGCATTTGGCCTTTATATTTGGGTTTCAAAGTATTCTGCAGTCGAGAATCAATGGCATCTCACAATCGTCTTGGGAAGTAGGTAAAACAGTTCTATCTTAAATACAGGGCAAAGAAGGACAGAGGTTTAGGGACTTGACCAAGGTCACATAGCAAATCAGGGGGACGGAAAGTATTAGGACTCTGTCAGCAGACTCTCAGGGTCCACTCTCACCAAAATGTCATTAAAAAAACGGTGCCCATTGGGGGCTGGCCCGGTGGCACAAGGGGTTAAGTGCGCGCACTCCGCTATGGCAGCCAGGGGTTCGCCAGTTCGGATCCCGGGTGCGCACCGAGGCACCGCTTGTCAAGCCATGCTGTGGCAGCGTCCCATATAAAGTAGAGGAAGATGGGCATGGATCTTCCTCAGCAAAAAAAGAGGAGGATTGGCAGATGTTAGCTCAGGGCCGATCTTCCTCACACACACACAAAAAATGGTGCCCATTGGCTTTTAGCTCAAATCAGGTAGGCACACTGTTACTGTTTCTCCCCTATTTCAGGATCAGATGGTTCTGTTGGGACTAGCAATTTAGGACCTATATTTGGCTGGCTAACTGGGATTCAATTTGAAAATTGCTGCCTTTCTTTTAGAAAACTGCTTGCTAGAATGGTGAAAAGGAAAAAAATATTAAGAGGTTCCAATCAGGTACTAATCATTTGGAGGCGTGAGATGTGAAGGGACAATTAAAATGTTTACACCATAAGAGAAAGGAGAGGGAGAAAAAGAACAAGAGGAGAAAAAGAATAAGTGGAAAGACAGAAAAGACATCCTATTATAGAAGGAAACAAAAGTTTCTTCTTGACACCACACTGACACTATATGTTCATATCTGGCAGCTGTGTGCTTTTTCCGTAAGTGCTTTCTACGGCTTGTGTCTTTGTGTCCAGCTCTCAGCCGGCATCTGGCGGCTGCTCAACAGATGTTCAGCAACAACATTAAGATCTACTCTTTGGCTCATGCCAATTCTTTTTCCTGTGCCTCTGAATTCCTGCTCCTGTTAGGAAAGGATGCTTGTTTATCAAACACAGGGCCAACAGGAAATTTTCCAACAAAGGCACTCCAAACTCTTGTTCTCAGCTCTTTAATAAAAACTTCCATACAACAAGTCTGTTTCCTTGAGCATTTGGTTGAAAGCCACAAGGGGATATATAGTCTTATATATTAAGAAGTGCCAGAGAAGAACTTAACAATAATATAACTTCTTACCTCCGAGTTAGTTTCCTTGAGCTGAAGTGAATATGTTGACAGCTTACAATAGCACGGATTTTGCATTCATTCAAAGTCCCCACTCCCAGCTTCTCCAAACATAGATGCTTGCTTTATAACAGAGGATGCTTCCTGTACAAACAACCCTAAATCAGCCATCAGCTTTGCCTGAAACTTTAAAACAGCCTCTTACGTAAAACTATTTTTTTGTTTTTTTGAGTTTGTCTGTTCTTATTTAAAGAGGGCACCACTAGCCTATTTGTGCTCGACTGATAACGTATTGGGATATAAGATGTCAAGATTTTGCGGGATATGATTGACAAAGCAAGACTAGGCACTGAGCTGGGGTCAGAATGTCACAGCTATCTAGGCTGCGTTGTCCTAAGCTTTCAAGGGAGAAAGCTGGAAAAAAGAGCTGCTTCCTTTTCTTCACATAAACAAATTATTTATCATTCAGAATATACCGGATATGGCTTTAATAAATAGAAGTAGGAGTTTTTGTGAAGACCACAACCCCAAGGAGAAGCCAAGATTTCCAGCACTCATTTGGCCCTTAACTTAGTGACTTAATACCTTATCCACTTATTGGTGTCCTGTCTGCTGGCTGGACTGGAACCCCTTCAGGGCAGAGACTGTGTCACCTCTGCAGGTCTTAGAGGATGGTGAGATGGGAGGCCCACTGACCCGTGTAGCCAAACCAGTGCCCAAGGTTTGAAAATTTGGTGAGAGAAGTGTTGGGTTTCATTTTTCACCTTTTGTGGCAGGTAAGAGGAAAGGAGAGAGAGAAGGAAAAGGGTGAGAATATTCTAGTCTCAGGGGCTGTGATTGTTTTAATCCCCTAATCATTTTGGGAAGAAAGGCAAAGTGCTAAGACAATTCATCTAGAATAAAGCACGGGAAATGCAAGAAATAATGTTTCCATCTGGCATTATTTGTTAAGTGCAAAAGTAATACCTGTAAAATAGGTTTAAAAAAATCAGAAACATTTCTAAGACACATATTTAAAATTTGCTTTTTCAATTTGACAATACAAAAAAGAACCCTAAATGATAGTCATCTTGGTCAAATAAATAGTCTTTGTTTTCAGTATGTCGTTTGTAAATGTTACATTGTTCTGATATTTAGTCATATTAAATACTTTTCATTTAAAATGTATTTTATGGAAGAATGATGAAGACTTTTTAAAATTAAGGGTGTTCATGATAGTGCCTGAGGTCAGCAACCATAAAAGGGCATTAGTATTCCCTTTTTGTTCTATTATCTTGACTTGGATGGGAATTAACTGGTCCAATGTCTCCTTTGGAACGTGTCATGTACTGGTGCAATGTGCCATTGGCAGCTCTGGGTAACATTTTCCATCACTCAAGAAACTGAGGTCCTCCAATAAGTTAGGGATACGGAATATCTTTAAAAGTATGTATAAATAACCCAGACAAACTAGAATTTCCATTTTATCGAGGTAGGCCATCAGAAAATAGCATCAACACCTTTTAACCTCATCTTAACCCCTTCCAGGAACAGAAGGAAAAAAGTGATCATGTTTAATTCTTCAATATGTTGGAGTCTAAAAATTTTTAAAAAAGAGCTGATTAAGTATAAGAACCTGAACTATAATGATCATAAACGGCAGTCATTCTAGAAATAACTTTTATGTAACCTTTTTAAAAATAAATAAGTGAAATTATTTTTTGGATCCTCCAATGGGAGCTATGCCCTCATTTGTTGATACAAAGTCTATTATTTTTCAATGAAACAATGAGTTATTTGTTGGAGTAAGTTGGATAAGATTCCTGATTAAACTGAGGGGTGATGGACTAGACATGTCCATTCTCTGAGAAGCAACAATCAGTTACCAGGTTTGTGATGAACCAGAGGTTCAACTGTATCTGCCAAGGAAGATCCCAAATCACGGGAGTGTGTCTGTTTAGGATGGAACAATACATGGAGTAGATGACAAAATACGGCAGTGTTTTCCATGTGATTCCCGAGTAACAGAAATAGTAATAGCAATCATAACTTGATTTTATTGTGAGGTGTCCATTCAAGGACACTGCCTGCTAGGATTTTGTCACAGGGGCTTAAAAACTAGAGATTTAAAGCAAAATAAGAAGAGCAACCTAATTTATGCATTCACTAGAAAGTGTCCATACTCTTGCTACAACTATAAAAGAAACAGAACAAACAAATCATAACATCTGGCTCTAATTCCCCACCAAGGTGCTTACACACACACATAATATAGCCCAATACGTTGCAGGTAAAGCAGAGGAAAAATCTTTTGTAACAGCTGGTCACCACGGTATTATAGCTGATAGTTACAGATATTGAACAGGTCTAAGACTACATACATGGAACAATATTATCTCGTAGAATTCGATGAAAAATAAAACCAACAATCCCAATATGAAACTACTTCCCTGGTTACTAATGCTTCTTTCCATTGTGTTGATTACGTCATTACACGACTGGTGCCATGTACTTTCTTCCTTCAACTGCTTCAGGCGGGAATTTCAGAGAATTGGCATAAATTGAGATCTCTTTGAAAACTGGCAAATAATAGGTTCTCTTTGCCCCTTTCTTTTTCCAATTTACAGGACACCAAAGGAAATATTATATGACATGAACTAGTTACTACAATAGCCCGTTAAAAGTTGACTATATGCAAAAGGAAGAGAATGCTAGAGACCATATGTATGCGCATCAGCTTTTCTCAAGAAAAAATTTCCACATTCCAAGGGCTCTTCAAAATGTAGAAAACTTGCCCTGTTACCATGGGTTTTTAGAACACCTCTAAACACACACAAAATAAGACAGATATTACCTACAAATGTCAACCATTGCTTAAACTCTAAAAGCATTTTTTGTATTATTTTGTTTTCATACAGAAGGGGAAAACTCAGCTATAAAGAAATAGTAAAAAGTATTTTTTGTGGCAATCAGTCGCAAGAATTTTCTGTTGCTTGCCTCTCCCAACTTGTGCTGATATTTTAAGGATGTGCTCAAGAGTATGACGCAGGGTGCTTTTGTCCCTTTCCCTCCTCCCTAATAACTTCCCCCTCCCTATCCCATAGCCAAATAGACACCCCTCAAATGAGCCATTCCTTTTTGCTCTCATCAATGGTCTCTGTGAAATTGGGGTCGTTGTTCATGATGGCAGCATCCGCGCTCTCTGCTGACTCTGCTCCCTTCGCTTCATTGGTGTGGTAGGTGCCCTTGTGACGGAACATGTACCGAATGAGGAAGACCAAGGTGCAGAGGATGGTGAAAATCACCACAGCAATGACCCCTGGTGGAGACAGGAGAAAGACCAGAGGTTAAACTCCAACACTTGTTTCCCCACTCCACCATGGTTCCCTCAAACACTACCCTCTTCCATAGAAAACCCAAACTCCAAAACAATAACAACAATAAAAACTGACAGAACTAAAGAAAAAAATTAGACCAATTCACAATTATACTTGGAGATTTCAACACTCTTCTCTCAGTAATTGATAGAACAATTTAACAGAAAATTGGTAAGAATTTAGAAGACCTCAAAAACACTATTAACAAAGTTGACCTAAGCAAATAATACTGATTCAACACATCTTTCTTAAAATATAGGAGGAAATACTACTCGACTCATTTTATGAGGCCAGTATTATCCTGGCACTAAAACCAGACGAACACATTACAAGAAAAGAAAACTATGGAGCAATATTCCTCTTTACTAAAATTTTAGCAAATCAAACCCACCAATATGTAAAAAAGAATATATTATGATGAAGTGGTGTTAATTCTAGGAATGCAAGATTGGTTTAACATTAAAAAATAAAGCAATACAATTTACCACATTAAGCAAATAAAAGAGAAAAACCATATGATCATCTCAATAGATGCAGAAAAAGCATATGACAAACTTCAACACCCATTCATTTTAAAGCCCCTCAGGAAACAATCAATAGAAGGAAACTTTCTCAATCTGATAAAGGGGATCTATGAGAAACCTACAGCTAATATCCTACTTAATAGTGAAAGATTAAATATATTCCCCCTAAAATATGGAACAATGCAAGAATGTCACCTCTCAACACTTTTATTCATGATTGTACTGGAAGTCCTAGCCAGTGCAATAAAACAAGAAAAAGAAAGAAAAAGTGTACAGATTGGGAAGAAGTAAAAACTCTCTTTATTCTGAGATGACATGATTGCCTATGTAGAAATTTCTAAGGAATATGAAAAAAAAGTTGCTAGAACTAACAGTAAATTTAGCAAGGTATACAAAAATCAACTGTATTTTTAGATACTAACAAGAAACACTTGGAAAATGAAAGTAATAAAATAATATCACTTATAATAGAACAAATTGAACACAGTTATTCACGACTGTGTAGTGAAAACCATAAAACCTTGCTGAGAGAAATTAAAGAAGACCTAAATAAATGCATGGATATACCATGTTTAAGGTCAATATTGTTAAGATGTTCATTTATAGATATAATACAATCACAATGAAAATCACAGCAAACTTTTTTTTCTGGTAGAAATTTATAAGCTGATTCTAAATTTTATATGACAATGCAAAGGACCCAGAATAGGCAAAATACTTTTGAAAAACAAAAAAGAAACAATTGGAGAACTTATATTGCTTATTTCGAGACTTACTGTAAAGACACAATAAAGCAAGTGTGGTATTGGCTAAGGAAAGATATACAGATCAACAAAGCACAACAGACAGTCCAGAAAATAGACATACACAATATAGTCTATTGACTTTTGACAGAAGAGCCAAGGCAATGAAATTGGCAAAAAACATAGTCTTTTTAACACGTGGTCTTGGAATAACTAGATATTCATTTGGAAAATAATGACTTTGATCTTTATCTCACACTATATACAAACATTAACTCAAAGTGATTATAGATTTAAAAATAAAAACTAAAGCTATAAAACAAAACATAGGAGAAAATTTTCACAACCTTGGGGTAGGCAGATTTTTAAGATAGGATTAAAAAAATCACAAACTATAAAAAGATTAGAAAAATTGGATTTTGTCAAAATTAGAATTTCCTGCTTTTAAAAAAATACCACTAAGAAAATGAAAAGGCTAGTCACAGACTGAGAGAAAATATTCACAATACAAATGTCTGACAAAGGACTTGTATTCAGAATATAAAAAGAACTCTTACAACTCAATAGCAAAAAGTCAAACAATCCAATTAAAGATGGGGAAAGATTTAAAGAGACACTTCACAAAAGATTTACAAATAGCAATATGCACAGGAAAAGATGTTCAACATTACCAGTCACCAGATAATTGCACATTAACACTACAATGAGATACCACTGTTCATCCACTAGAGTGGCTGTGTTGGTGAGATTGTGGAGCAACTTGACCTCTCAGATATTGATCATGGGAATGTAAAACGGTTCAACCATTTTGGAAAACTGCATGGCAATTTCTTATAAAGTTAAATATCCACTTTCTATAACACCCAGCAATTGCACTCCTAGGAATTACCAAAGAGAAATGAAAACTTTATGTTCACACAAGACTTATACAGAATATTCATAGCAGATTTATTCAAAATAGCCCAAACCTGGGAACAAACCAAACATCTATCAACAAGTGAGTAAACAAAACAAATTCCAGTACATTCATACAATGGAGTACAACTTGGCAATAAAAATAAAGGGACTATTGATACACGAGATCTGTGGACAGATCTCAAAATCATTATGCTGAGTGAAAGAAGTAAGGAGCAGCAGATTGCATACTATGTGATTCCATTTATATGAAACTCTAAAAGAGGCAAAAGTAACCTATGTGACAAAAAGCAAATTAGAGGTTGCCTTGGTTGGGAGTGGGGCAAGGGAAAGGATGGACAACAAAGGGGCACAAAGAGCTTTTTGCGGTTGGAAATGCTCTATATCTTGATTGTGGTGGTGGTTATGGGTGTATGCATTTGTCAAAAGTCACCTACCTGTTACACTTACATAAGTGCATATAATACTTCAATAAAGTTGATCTTAAGCCACATGCAAAAAAATGAAAGTAGACCCTTACCTTACACCATACACAAAAATTAACTCCAAATGGATTAAAGACTTGAATGTAAGACCTGAAACTATGAAACTTGTAGAAGAAAACATAGGCAGTACGCTCTTCGACATCCGTCTTAGCAACATATTTTCAAGCACCATGTCTGACCGGGCAAGAGAAACAATAGAAAAAATAAAGAAATGGGACTACATCAAACTAAAAAGCTTCTGCACAGCAAAGGAAACCATAAACAAAACGAAAAGACAATCTAACAATTGGGAGAAGATATATGCAAACCATACATCTGATAAGGGGTTAATCTCCAAAACATATAAAGAAGTCATGCATCTCAACAACAAAAAAACTAACAACCCAATTAAAAAATGGGCAAAAGACCTGAACAGACATTTCTCCAAAGAAGATATACAGATGGCCAACAGACACATGAAAAGATGTTCAAAATCATTAACTATCAGGGAAATGCAAATCAAAACTACAATGAGATATCACCTCACGCCTGTCAGAATGGCTATCATTAACAAGACAGGAAACAACATGTGTTGGAGAGGATGTGGAGAGAAGGGAACTCTCATACACTGCTGGTGGGAGTGCAAACTGGTGCAGCCACTATGGAAAACAGTATGGAGATTCCTCAAAAAATCAAGGGTAGAACTACCATATGATCCAGCTATTCCACTGCTGGGTATTTATCCAAAGAACTTGAAAACACCAATTTGTAAAGGTACATGCACCCCTGTGTTCATTGCAGCGTTATTCACAATAGCCAAGACTTGGAAGCAACCTAAGTGCCCATCAAGGGACGAATGGATAAAGAAGATGTGGTACATATACACAATGGAATACTACTCAGCCATAAGAAACGATGAAATCCAGCCATTTGTGACAACATGGATGGACATTGAGGGTATTATGCAAAGTGAAATAAGTCAGAGGGAGAAGGTCAAATACCGTATGATTTCCTTCATTAAGTAGTAGATAATAACAGCAATAAACAAACACATAGAGATTGGATTGGTGGTTACCAGAGGGGAAGGAGGGAGGGAGGAGGGCGAAAGGGATGATTTGGCACATGTGTGTGGTGATGGGTTGTAATTAGTATTTGGGTGGTGAAGATGATGTAATCTATGCAGAAATAGAAGTATAACGATGTACACCTGAAATTTATATTATGTCATAAACCAATGTTACTGCAATAAACAAAAAATTTAAAAAAAAATCAAGTTGATCTTAAAAAAGCAAAAAACAATGAGGATAGCGACCTTGATAAGACCGAACTTTGGACAATGTGATTTAAGCAGCATTCTGAATGTATTCTAATTTTATAGTCATATATATTTCTTATAGGCGTCTACTTTTCTTCATGTGAAAAAGAAACCTACTGGCTAAGCCAAGTTGATTGGCTGAGTTTAAAATCCTAGATATATTTTCCATATTAGCTATCCTCGGAGAGGTAGGAAACATCTTTATGAAGTAAGACAGAAGCAGGGAGAGAAGAAGTCAATGGGCCACAGGGCTATCAATATTGATCCAAACGAGGATCAACTGGATCACTAGGAGAGTCAAATTATTCTGCAGCTGTCCCTGGTTAGAAGAAAAGACCGGAATATTCTAGATACTCTGGCTTATTAATTTCCTGGTAATTTTTACTAAGGTAACTGAAGACAGCCTAGCATGGTCCTTCCCATTTTTGTAGTAAGCTATCCTGGACCATTTGGGATGCGAGAGGATGAGAGTAAGAAAAGATAGGAGAGAATAAAGAAATGTCCGGGCTGTTGCCATGACTGCCGACTTGCAAACTTAGATTCTGGCTGGCTCACCACTACCGTTCTTTTTTACAAGTCTGCATTAAAAAGTAGCCAGGTTACATTTACCACAGTTTTTCCACATCTGTATATCGCAATCTTAAGTCATATTTAAACAGCAAAATGAATAAAATACAAATCTAGACGACTCATTTTTTCCCTAGACTATGATTTTTATTGAAAATTACGACCACAGGTGAGTAGCCACGTGAAAGCCTGTTCTATATGTCACCTACCTCCAATGATAGCGGAGTTTCTGTTGACTCCATTTCTTATAGCTTGGCCTTGTCCTGGATTATATGGAAAATCAGCACTGGCTGTAGAGAAAGAAATGAAAACTCAAGTGTAAGCATCACGTATATCATTAATCCCAAGTAATCTGATACCTATTTCTTCATACAACTCTTCAACGCTTCCTGTTTTCCTAAATGAGATTTCATTTGGACCCATCTTGCTATTGTTTCCCACAAGAATCATAGCAACCTCCACATGTTCCTGCGGTTGTCTTTGCACAAGGCCCAGACAAGCACTATAGCTCCTTTGGAGGAATATTAATGAATCTTAGAACTACCTGAGCTGGCTTGTCCAGTTCCACTGACAGAAAAGCTTACATATTAGAAGACTTTTTCTTCCTTTTGGCTGAAATCTGTGTCCCATCCATTTCTATCCCATTCACAACTGGTGGCAATGAATATATTTGTAGATGAGCTTTCTACAGCTTACAGCACTAGTTTAAAAAGTAATCATGTCTTTAAATGAATATTTTACATGGCTCCAATAAAACATCATACACTTCAGGAATTTGTAAGAGGGTAATATTTCATAAGAGTTGAAAAGAATATTAACTGCCTAATAAATTTTCTATTTCTTTCTCTATTATAAAAAATAAGAACCAGTTATATTAAATTTAGACATTTCTCTAAGATAAAACAAATTTCAAGCACACAAAAGGCAAAAAATCCTGAAGTCTTTCTATAGGTCAGCAGAATATCTATTCTCATCCATTCAAGCTAATTCAACTTCAAAAACAATTTCACATTTGTTGGACTTCCATTTGAGAAGTTAAGGTTTCAGGTAAATCTTCCAACAGAAGCAGCTTCTTCTAGAACCATGGCTACTGAAAGGTACCAATTAAATATAAAAATTTTTAAAAGTAGTTATTTGGCATAATTGAATGTGCGCACACTGAGGAAACAGGTTTGTGGTATGATTCAGAGATAATCTCACTAAGGACTCAGTTTTTCTAACGCTAATTTCTCCCCAGGGCTATGGACTTCCAAGATTCCCCAGGAGAATGATAAAAAGTTGGTACAGCTCTTTCTCCTCCTTTTCCCTAGGAGATGTGGCAACCAAAAGGGAGATTCCAGATTCTACCAGCACATGCTATTTAATCCTTTCTCTCTTAGAGCTGGTACTCTTACTTAGGACCAGGAAAATTATTGTTTCCTAGATGTATCATACTCCAAATTCACTCAACCATCAGGGCCATTCAAACCTGTTAATTTGATTAAAACCATGGACACTAAGAAAGGTACAAATGCAAGGGAACTTAACTCCAAGTCCTCGGGACTTTTCACATTCCCCTAAATCTTTAACTGGTGGAGGCGGAAGAGACCTTTTGGTGGTATAATGCTTGTTTTAACTGGTCCAATCCTCAGTCTAGTCAGATGGGTGGGGAAATTTGTACAGGCAGAGCCAATGCCAAGCACAGTGCAATTGGCTGCTTTCCCAGTAGCTCACTTTCCCACGCCCCTTCAGAATTTTCTAGGGTAGACAGCATGGATTGACATTCAAAATTCCAAATGTTAGCCCAAGAATGCAAAGATCTTACATTTATAGGCTTATCATTTAATATTAGATTGATCATAAAATTATCATATGTGAATAAAACTGGCTCACATTAAAATATATAATGTTTTTAGAAATCTTGGCTTTCTTCTTTAAACCCGAGTTTTCTCTTCAGAGAAATATTATCAGTAGATGTGACAAATAAATTCATTTATTCATTCAACAAATCTTTGTAGAATATCTACTATATGTCAGGCATATAAGTGCTAGGGATATACAATAATCAATAAAACAGACAAAAATTGTTATTAATGAGAACTTTCCATGCCTCATTGAAGAATCTGGTTAATAGAGTTAAAATACTAATCTAAAGCATGGATGTGGTTTTAGTGATGACCCCATCCATTTACAGCGAATTGCCTGAAATTGCTTTGTAGCGACCACCCTGTAACTCACACACCCATAGAGCACAGTAAGACTTCGTTATCAATGCACATAATTCTCTGACGCAAACCACTCTTCAAAGACCGAGAGCTGCTTTTCAAGGATGAAAGCTCGTACCTTCACTGCCCATCTTTGGCGTAGTTTCCAGGCCTTTTGATGCTGTAATCATCCTTCTCTGGACACTACTAGTCCATGTCCTTTAAAAAAAGTCAGCAAGCTTCTAAGTGGCCTAGCTGGGATGAGAACCCAGATAGGGTTAATCCCAAAGTGAATAATCTTCCCTATCCCGCCTTTTGAGGGCTAGGAAGAGTCAGACAGGTGAGCTGTTGAGGAAGTCCCAGCTTCCAGACAATTTAGCTTCGGTGGAGCCTATGGGAGAAGCAGCCTTTTTTAGGGGACACGGGAGAGAAATTTGTTTTGGATGTATTGAGTTTGAGGTGCCTCTAGGACTCCCGGGTGGAGATACCTACTAGACATTTGGATATTTTGTGAGTAGGTCATATTCCTCATCTCCTTTTGATAAACATAGAAATCTTCATGTAAACATGTAAATCTTCAAAATACCTTAAGTATGGCGACAGAAAATTACAGTGGTAATTTTGTTATTATTCTATTGTGTGATATTCATGGTACTATGAAATGATTGGCTTTTCTGCTTCAGGTGGTGTGCATGGTAGAGCACAGCAGTTTCTCTCTGCTCCAGAGGGATCTCTCTGATCTCTTCCTTATGGCTTTGCATCCTTGGCCACAAAACTGCAGGAAAACACAGGTGCTCAGAGATATTGATACACTTCTTCTTGGGTCCCTTGAAGTTGTTGATATAAACAGTAGTGGAATGTGTGGGTGTGACCTGGGATGACCCAAGGAAAATGACAAGAGCTGGAAGAGAACATTTAAAAATATCGTAGGATTGCCTTTGGTATACAATCCGAACTCCTCGGCATGGGATGAAGGCCTCTCTGAGCTGAGTTTCTCTCCTGCCTCTTCCTCACAGGACCACTTTTCCAACTTAATATTCTAGGCACACGGATTCCTGATGCTTCAGGTCGATGTGCCTTTGCTCATCCCTACGGCACTCTCTGTCTCAACATGTGGTTTGCCTTTCCTCTCTTTGTCCAATAAATCTTACCTATTTCCTGAAACTATCCCCAGCCGCCTCAGATTAAATGTCTGGCCCTCTTTTCAATGACTATACCCTTAATTCTTGTCACTCCTTATATGGTAATCATCCTTTTAAAGGCAGAGGCCAATCTTACACAGGTTTGCAGCCCCAGTGACAAATAGTGCAGATACGTAGCGAGAGCTAATTGGATGCTCGTTGACTGGGCTAATAAAAATCAATCTATTAAGAGGTGTGTAAACATTTGTGTAGCCTCTTCTAATTATAAAGTCTCCCATGCAGGTATAATTTTGAAAGTCAGCTGCCTAAACTCAACTCATCCCTTAAAGCAAGGCAGCATTCTTATTCTTCCCAACAAAGGAAACGAACATGTAGAAGACAGAAAAGCTACTAGTGATTCCCATGTCCACTAGTCTTTGGTTACTATCAGAAAACAATCAGTGGAAAACTCTTAGGTACAGCAGAAGTCCTTACGAAATTCAAGGGCAGGGTTCTGTTTTTTGCATGAGCATCTCCATTTTCATGGCTTTATTTATAACTTAAGCCCAGTTGTCCTAACGAGTGTGAATGCTTACTCCCTTGAGGAAAATCCATTTTATTCTGGCAAGCAGAGTGATTGCTATTTTGACAGATATATTTCAAATGATTTCATTGTAACTGTCCTTTCCCCTGGGTACCAACATTCCCTTGGAAATGCACGTAGAGAAACACAGAGACCAAGCGACGCTACTGAGACTAAACCACAAACCTCACTCAGGATGCATGCTCCATTCTCTGCTGACTTCCATGCCCCACCCCCCACATTTGCTAGGAGAGCCGAGCAACTTAGGTGGTGCTGGAGTATCAAGGAACCTATATTTTGGGAAACGTTGTGGGTAGGTCCAAAATAGACTTTAGATAGTGACAGTCTCAAGACCAGACTTGCATCAAATAGGCAAAGAGTATATGCGATATATTTTTCTTCTGGATCCCCAAACGACACCACATGACGATACCCAGCAAAGCGTGGCTCTCTTCCAGCCCTGATTTCGCATCTCACAGAGGCATGTGTGTTTCTGCTTGTTTCCCTTGCGCATGTCCTTCTTGTCTGGTCATCCCCATCGTATTGATAGACCATGTTTCCCTGGCACCACTCGGAGATTAGCTCTCCTCCCCTCCTCCAGCCACCGTGGGGCAAGCAGGACATGTTGCTGCAGGAATTGGTGATGGGGGATTCTTCTCCCATGAACATGCTTACTGAACAGCCTGGCTGAGGCTTCAGAGCCATATGTGCACTCCTGCCCTCCTCACCCGCAGAGAAGGCAAATCTATCACAGAGCCCAAACATACTCAGACGCGGATCACATTCACACTGTAACACGCAGACCTTCTTCCCTTCCACTGTCTTTATCTTCCACGTGAGAAGCAATCTGACAGCTCAATATTGGTGCACTTTTCCCTTCCTCCACCTTCAGGTGGAAAAACAAGGAAATAACAATGAACATACTTTGAACGAGCAGGCCCCAGGGAAAGTGTTCCCGTAATTATACAGATACAGTAAAATGGTCAAGTATTGGGTGAGTAAAAATACATTCCCCGCCAAAATAGAAAACATGAATGTTTTGTTCCATTTCTAAAGGCTTTTGCCCTTCCTCTGCTGCATTCTTGGGAGGATTTGTCAGAAAAGCAAACAACTGTCTAATTAGCACCTCTTCTATGTGTGGGTTGGGCAGGGGCGAGTGTGGTGTCCTTCCCTTGGCAGAAGGGACAACCGGGGCTCTTGAGTGGCAGTGACAAGTTCTGAGCCTCACCTGCTGCAAGAAGAGAGGCATTACACAATGAAGATCCCCAGTGGCCATGCAGGTCGTCCATATGTGACAAGCAGTGAAGCTCTAAATTCTAGGATGGTGTGGAATCAGCCATCATTTGGACTACACTCTCCTCACATTTAAGACTCTCTAGGGCTCAGAGTAGCAAGTGGCTAGT